TATTTTTTTTAAGTTGAGTAGTCTTTCAGATACATGATAATTTGCTTCGTGAACATTAAATGACTCAAGGTTTCCAGCACAATTTACGATGATTTGAATCAAACTTTAAATGTGATTTATAGAGCTTTTGAAATCCACGATGAGATAAACAAATTAAAGTATAATTTCTCGATTTTTTATGATGATCCATCCACTATCAATAAAAAAAAACATATTTTTTTTTAAATAATATTTTGTAAATACTATTGTGGAACCTTAACAAATAATTTGATGAGATAAAACATTCAAAGGATTTATAATAAAACATTGTAATAAAATAAATCATAGTAGTTTTCATCATAACAAATTCATCCTAATTTTGAAGAGACAAAACATTCAAATGATTTATAATAAAAAATTGTAATATTATATAAATCATAGTATCTTTCATCATAACAAATTCATTGAAAAATGGTTTTTAATAAAAAGGGCAACACCTTTATATGACTCCATGGCTTCCAATGTGTTCACGTTTATTTTGCAGGAAAGTGCAAAAGTCAGTTCATGAATTTAGTTACCAATAATTCTGTCAAGAGATTTAAAACATCTTGCTCTAACAGCAAAAATATGCAGTAAACCCTCTGAGTAACAGCAAGAATTACATTGTTTTCGAGCTCTACTTCGGTATTTGTAAGCTTGGCCAGTTACACGTGCCGGTTTTCTATTTGTATGAGTGTGTCGGGCCTGCTCATCTGGCCCCCAACTAAAAGTTAGCTTAATAGTAAATGTTCAAGGATGAATTGTCCACATGCCTGTCCTATATCCAACAGACATGAGTGCCATCTCCCACAACATATTGGGAATGCTCAACAAGTTGACCTTTGATCCGGGAATCTCAGACCAGTTTACGGATATCTCAATCATCGGGATTTGGAAAATCTTGCACAAGTACACCAACTCAACATCAAAGCACCACCTGAAAATGTCGAGAAGTTAAAAAAGAGAATTTATTCAACAAGAAATATGAAAAAAGAAAAAGAGCTACATTCAACAACAGAGATATACAAGGAGAAAGTGGGGGAAGGAGACGAAGTGCAACAAGTTACAGACAAAAAAAGATCAATTAGCAATTTAGAACTGCAATTAACTATAAATTAAGGGCATTTTTAGGCATTAAATTGTTTAATTCCTTCTAACTGTGTACCATAAATTGAATTGTATTGGATTTCTTCTGGAGTGTTGATTTCGAAGTCGTGCAGTAATAGAGTTCAGTAAATTAAGAAATAGGAAAAAGAAAATATTTGTGAAACTCAAATAGCATTTCTAATACTAACAATGCTCAACCTCTTTCTTTCTTATTATTATTATTTTTTTTT